AGCCAGCAAGCCAAAACACCATGAATTCCTTAGGGTGGTGCCAGTCTCATCTTCTTAAACTTCTCACGCTCCTGTTGGAGGCTAAGGGAATGCTTATCTCCCTGAGCGCGGCCTTCATCCAGCCATTCCTTCACAATATGGCTCATTTAATTGGGGGGTTCTTTGAGGAATTCAGTGGTTTCATGAATTATTAAAGCCAGGTCCACTATATATGTATTTTCATTCTTTCTTTAATCATGCACTCAGGTTTAAGGAAGTCCACTAATCCTGATGTACCTAATTTTTGCTGTTTTCGAAGTATTTAATCAATGATACACGTTCCAGAGTGTGTTTCTCTTCCAGCCCAGTGGTCTCAGCAGATGCAGTAAATGAGATGGAAAGGTCCCTTCTATTGCAGTTAATGATGGATTTAAACCTTGAATACATGGAGTCCAAGATTTGTGTATTTATTTCAAAATTTACTCTGGGATTGACTTAATATTGTCTTAATATAATCGACAAGATAAATGCAATCCTGCAAAGATGACTATTTTTAATATTTTTATTTGCTGATGGATTGTGCTCTGTTACTCTTTGGCCTTGCAACTAAACATGAGGGCATGAGTAATCCCAGGGTCTGTGAAGCCTTCTGTATGAATAGCACTGTGATGACTACTTTTCTTTCTTTCTTTTGGATCCTTCCGCCCCCCCGCCCCCCATTTTAAAGTATTGGCTGCTATTTCTCTTTGTACAACTGCCCTGGTTCTTGGGATTTTCCTGGGAAGTATCGTGCCAAGAAGAACAATGAACACGTACCGCTTAGAAGCACTCAGAACTTCATCTCCATTTTGTTGCTGGAGAATAAAATAAGCTTAAGGGCAAATATTTTTCCAGTTCAGTCACATCATGTGTATTTCCTCTCTTGAAATTTCTTTTTTGGGTTCTAGAAGGAATGGAAGGGAAAATTTAGGTGTCCACCACAATGTAATCTTGTGCAGAATTTCCTTTTCCAAGCACATCTGGTTGGAGGAATCAATGCCAGAGATGGCAAGGCAGCCTTCCCTTGAAGGCCCACTCATGGACATTATCTGGCTCATCAGTAGGGTCTGAAGGATTATAGTGTGGTGCTGAAGCCAGATTTGGTTCCCCTTTGCTGATGTGCACTGTACGGAAAAGGTCCCAACCGTTAGGGGCACCATTTGCCTCTCCTTAGTATGGCAGGAAAGGGTGCATTCTGAGCATGGAATGTAATTTATTTCATAACATCCAGAATGTATCCTATTGGTAATCTTAATTTAAGACCTAGAGTCATATTTGAATTTGTGAGATGCTCCCTGTGCGACACAACTGGGCCTAGAGCATGATCTTGAGCAATTGTTTTAATATGCCCTTCCTGACTTGGAAGGCTTTTCCTGTAATTTTTTTAAGACAACACACTGCATTGTCTGGGTAAACAGCATACATATTTATATCCTGTAACTTCCACCCAAAATAGTTCCTAGGTTACCTTGCAGTAAAATGCCATGAACCTACTAAAACAGGAATCAGTACAAAACAGTTAAATAAACTTAACTCCCTTATAGCAGCCTTACCCAGCTTGTGTCTTTTAGAAGTGTGGGAACTACAACTCCCAGAATTTCCAGTAAGGGCAACAGCTTGAAAAGCATTGCTTTATATTTCTGCATGAGCAAAGGCCCACATTTTGTAATGTGATTGGGTTTTCATCCTGTGTTCAACTTCCATAATAATTTTGCTTCAGCGATATTTGTTCTGGTCTGTATTCCTGTGATTTTCTTCAGCACCTCATGCAAAGGGCCTGGAGACAGGTTACAAAGCTGTTTGTCTGTCTGATGTGTTGTGTGTGATAAAACTGATGACATGTTTGTTGTCGGTCCTAAATTTTCTTTCCTTTCTTTAAATTCTGTTCCCTGGAAAACCTTTGTCCTAATTGCTACTTGGTGAAGTACATCTTTGATTGAAATCTACAGTTTTGGGAGGAAGAATCTAGGCACTAGCTTCTCTTAATTTAACCACAGTCTTTGCCCATTAATCAGAATGCCATCATCTTCCTTCCACAATTGACTTAACAAAATTCCCGAGTGCCTTCCCATTTTCATACATTAACGTGGTACTGAATTGGGTTCATGTACTAAATTAAATCACAATGAGCTGCTCAGCCATAGCAATGTGTTCATCAAAAGACTTGGCAGAAATTTCCCTGTTGCATGTTAAAGACTTGGTTTACATGTTAAGCATTAGGAGTGAAAGGCATGTTTGCATAAAAGAACCAACCAAACAACCCCCCTCTGTATGCTTAAAAAACAGTTACCTTCAACCTTGAATTCTCTGCCAACCAAATTTGCATTCCAGAATTTCCAGAATATGTCTAAATTGGGCAGATGAAAGACATTTACGTGGACATGATCATTTTGCATGTCTTTTGCTTTGGCCAGCCATCAGCATGGAACCTGTATGCCCTGCCTCTGACTCTTCTCTAGGCCCTGCCCTCAAGGATAGCTTGACAGCCCTAAAGAATTTTTAAGAAACAAAAGAAGACATCTTAGTATTCCTTTGCCACTCGAAGCCCCTGCGTACTATCGTGATGACGTTAATAGACGTCATCATGTGCCTGCCTTATGGTATGAGTACGCTAGCTTATATTTCTCCCGCCACCCGAATAAAATGCAATGGGGCACTCTGTAGAGATTTTTTCCTTTCCATTCAGAAAACACCTTATGTGATGTGATGGAAACATAGACAGGAAATAGAACTGTTTGGGAGAAATTTGCACTGTTTTTTTACCACTTAGGAGTGACAAAATATTCATTGCATTGAAAACCTCCTATAATAACTCATCTTTCAAATCTAGCATGAAATAGGGCTATTTCTTTATTTATGGGCACACCCACACCTAGTATTTACCAAGGAATTTGGGGGGCCTTTTTGAGAAGCAGTTTTTGGAGTCGTTGAAATGCACCGAAAAGGAAGAGTTAATGCTCCCCTCTCAGTTGATTTCTGAAACAGGTACATGGCATCTTAGGAAACGGTTTCTATTTTCATTCATAGAGGCTTTTATTTATGTATGATTTATGTGAGAGGGGAGGGGAGCAATTGCCCAGTGGGGATGCTATAGCTTGGCTCCTCTAGTGCTGTAGGCTTCCTTTACAATAATCAGTAAAACGAAAAATATACAGCTGCGACAAAGGCATGCAATTATGTTGTGGTCGTAGCTGCTGTTTTGAAATTATTATTATTTCATTAGCTGGGAACTGAAGAGAGTAGGAGTCTTTTTGACCCATTTTCCCCTATTTGGATGAAGGTTGGGGGAATTTTACTTCTAGAAGCTGCCTGGAATCTTAGCATGCTTATTTTCCTTAATCCAGCAGGGTATTTTGGAGGATTCGGGGAGGGGGGAGCTGCCAAAAAGGGGCTTGGAAGCTCATGGGTTTGGGGCATCCTGTCCCCTGAGCTAAAGGTTTAAATGTATATGGGCCATTCTTTTGGCTGGGTCAAACCACCATAAACTACACTGGCCTAATATTTGTTGCTCAGGAGGTGCCAGGCTGATTCCATCCCCTGGCACCAGTAGAATGGTCAGGGAAGTGTGTGAGGTTGTGCTCACAGTAAACTGCAGTGGCTTGTTGCCTACTTAAGGGGTAAAACACGACTTTCACCCTGAAACACCTAAGGACAACTTAAAGCTAGCTCAAGTATATATTAGGGAAAAGATGAAGTCAAAATGATGGGAATATAAGAGGACAAAAACGGTTGGAAGGGCATATTTGTCCCATAGTCAGATGCAAGTAGGGAAAGGCCCA